GTGGTGGGAAAGAAAAAGAAAAGGAAGAAAGGAGGAAGACGGGTGGGCAGATAGGGCTGAGTGTTCTTGCCTGTGGCAGTGGCTCTGGTCAACCAGTGCACCAAACCATTGCATGTCCGTGGGAGCAGGGAGCACCCCATCCTGGCGTGGGAGCATAACACTTTCAGGAGGTTCCTACTCTCTGATTAACTTTTAGCATAGTGTCCAAGGACTCAGCTGTCCAGATTAAGCAAAAAAAAACAAAAGATAGTTTGGCTAAATAGGCAAAGCTGTGGCACTTAGCAGGTGTGAGTCATCTGATGAAGGGGATTTGCCATAGGACCCTCAGTTTACCCACCAGCACTAATGTCATCCTGTTTATTTATCTACCTTGGTCTGCAGTATGTCCTGGGTAGATGGGGGGGGGGGAGCTCCCTCTTAAAGTGACAGTCATGCACCCCAGAACATTGGCAGGGAGCCCAGCTCACCTCCTCCTGAAAGGAGTGATAGCTTAATCTGATTACCCCCTCAACAAGAAAGGACTGTATGCCAGTGGAGAGAACTCAGGGTAAATCACCGGGACCCGCAGGCCACCCAGAGGCTCAGCCGGTGTGGAGCCTCAGCCGTGAGCTGCCAAGCCGAACCATCCCTCAGGCGGCCACAGGGAGACCAGGCTCGCTGCCTCTTGGCTTCAGCCCGTCGCACCCTCCTCCCCATGCGCCGCATGTTTGCTCTGGACTTGTGAAGGGACAGCGGGGCCAGGAGGGGCAGCGCTCCCATCTCCATAAGCAGAAATCAGACAGACTCTTCCCAGGCCGCACGATCGCTCTGGCCCAGCAGGTGAAGGGCCTCTGATTCGACCGATGCACGACGCGTTTGCATGTGCTGAAGCAGTGCTACTTCCACGTCTGTCTACTCACTCTGCAAAGTTTGCCTTCTCCTTAAACACATTCCAGACCAAACACTGTTCAGTTGTCACCACCCCACCCCACACACACGCACGCACACACAACAAAATTGTATATACCTGTCATTCCTGTGTGTAATACACTATTCTAGGGGGAGGGATGAGAGAAACCTGGCCTTAGGTTGGGGCTGCAATGTATATTTTTTGCAGAAGTGTTCCAATCCTTTGATTTTCAGAGTTGAAGCCCTTGAGATTTAAAAAGCAAAAAAAGTTCTCAGGGCAAAAAGATTCCTAAAAGGGAGCTTATTTCCTGAAGACACCAAGAAAACTCATCTGCAAATGAGCTGGCTGTGGACAGCAGGAGGGAGGAGACAGCGGAGAGACCCACGCCGGTTCCTTCACCGTGGTCCCAGGGTGCCGTGGGCCTCAGCCGGCCGTGGGTCCAGGAGCGTGGCCCGCTGGGAAGAGCCCACACGCTGGCGCAGACCTGGCCCGCCTCCTCTTCACACCTGTCATCTGCCCTTCCCGGCCCTTCCTGCCCCTGCAGGGGGCTCATGGCTCCAGGGGCCTCCTCTCCCGCAAACCCAAAGGCTGTGCATTTAGCAGATGTCCTCACGGCATGTGGCTGCCAGGTCTGGTCTTGTGGACAAAGCAACTCTGGATTGGCTTCTCAGTGTCTCTTTCTACACCAAAGGGGCGAACCGTTGCCCTCACCCTTTATCCTAATGCCGCTTCTGCATTTACCATCTCACCCTTTGGGCCCCAGGGAACTTCTCACACGATGACGATGTCTTCTGATTCTTCACTGGATTATTTTACTAACAGGTGATTTTATTTTGTTACGGACAGTAAAAAAAAAAAAAAAAAAATTTAAAAGAGGGGAGTGCTTGAGACTTTAGTTTTGGAGATAAGACATCAGCAAGCATTTAAAAGCCCCAAACACTAGTTTAACTACTACTCAAAGGGTAACTTCATCTGG